GATTATCCTAGTACTACTTATGAATTCTAATTTAATACTGAAGAGTTATTTAAAGACTGATGAGATTATCAAGAGTTAGTTTGTAGGTATTTGATTTATTTCCGGTTGGACCTCGGGTTGATATCAGTTAGGGGACCATTGAAAGCCAACAGGGAGTACCGGAAAGCTCTTTCTTCCTGGTTTGAGATTCATCACTTTTTGAAAAACCAAATCCCCTCAAGCCAACTGCTAAAATTAATCTTGAGCTCGTTAGTGACTGGTTACAGGACAACGTTGACTGGAATTCTAGTGAGAAGTCATGACCAATGGGTTCCAGCTGGTCAGTGGTGAGGACAAATACTCGTCGATGACATTAGCTGGTGGTCGCGCTAAAATCACGGATTGGTAGAAGTTTGAATTCGTGGACCGTTGAGTTGGGTCCCATTGTTTGAATGATTTAAGAGCTTGCCTCATAACTTAAAGGTCTTAGGTTCAAAATCCAGTGAGTTCGTACTGCTGAAGAGTCCCAAACTAGGACGACACAGCGGTTATTCAGTACTCCTTGATTTTCAATGGTTCTCTAATTGGCATCAATCCGTGGTTAAACTTGATAAGTGTGATGCTTTAATGCACTTAATTTAGCCAGAATCAGTCAAAATACCTGCCACTTCATTTTAATGACAGAATTATTAAAAACTGAAATAAAAGTCTCAGGTGTGAAGGGATTTAGTCTAAAACTTATTGAAATAAAAGCCTGGCGCATTACCAACTGAACTATAACACCTAGGCCTCAATTTCATTTCAGTAACCATACCTTTTGATTGGTTAAGGTATTAACAAGAACGATAGTATCTTTAGTAATCTGAAGTTATATATAAGCGAGAAACGTTTACTATGGTAATTAATTTTTATGAACTCTAATTAAGATTTGACCATATAGCTCTGCGAACATTATATATGTATAAATCTCAGTGGAATTTAATAATAATAATAATAATTTGCTTTATTCCAAAACAGTACATGTGATACAGAATGGAATTCTCAGCATTTTTTTACTACAGCATTGCATCCAGTTAGTACATTATCAATAAATAGAATTCTACATAGATTAAGGAAATCTCAGTCCATTAAGGCAACTATACATTGGCATGTCGGTAGCAAAGTCAAAGCTGAACAGTGTTTGAAGGTGTTAGAAAAGTGGGAGCTGTCTTATTAACTGGCGTAAGCGAGAGAAAGAAACAAAGCAGCACGTAACGGAAAAAGAAGAGAGAGAAGAGGAAAAGAAAGAAAGAAAATGTTGTACCTATTGATGATGTGGGTTGGAAAGACGAGATCCAGTTGTACTATTGACTATTTAATGAATTATAGGTGTCACGCCTAATGCTTTCTTTATCACACAGAACAGGAGGTAAGTAGAGTATGTTTGAGTTTTTGTACTTGCTGGTGCGAGCATATATTTTTCTATATTGGCTTCTGGTTTTGCCTGATGAGATGCAAGGGAAGAGTTGTGAGTGAAGGGGGTGGTGTGATTTAGATAAAATGGATTTGGCCCATTTTTCACATGGATCCATGTGCCTGTCAACCAGAGTATTAACAATCTGGTTAAGTGGCACGTTGCTTACCCTGCTGACAACATTTAACATCCTGCTTAATATGTTATAGTCTTTCTTCAGTAGCCCGGGAAAAACTAAGGGGGAACAATAGAGAATAATAGGCAGGATGCGAGAATTAACGAATTGTAGGAGTAAGGGTTGGGTAATACCAGAATGTTTTAACTTCTTAATGTAGAAGGTAAGATGGAATATTTTCTTAGAAATTGCGAAGATATGAGACGACCAGGAGAGATCAGCAGATAGAATGACACCTAGGTATTTAATTTCCGATTTGGTTTCTATTTCAGTGCCGTCTATGTTGCACACCTCGTGAGAGCCAACCAGTTTGTTTAGGTCGGATTTATGCCTGAAGGTGAAATTGACTGTTTGGCATTTGGAGGGGTTTAAGGTAAGACCGTTTTCCTTGGACCACTGGCTGATTTCCGATAAAAAGCCATTTAGTTTAGAGCAGTCACTTTAACATTTGACAGGCAAAGATAAAGTCAGGTCGCCAGTATATTTGACAAAATTGATGTCATTTGAAGATGGTAAGTCATGTAGAAAGAAAGAAAAGAGAAGTGGGGAGAGTAGAGCACCTTGGGGGACACCAGCTTCAGTGAGCACAGTAGAGGAGGATTTACCTTTGTATACCGTGTACTGCATTCTGCTAGAGAAGTAGGAATGCAGCCAGTTGGTGACCCAGGACTCGGTTTTTGTCAAAGAGAGCTTATTTAGCAGGAGACATCTAGATACAGAGTCGAAAGCAGAAGTGAAGTCTAGAAACGTGCAGCGGACGTATTTGGCACCTTTATCTAATGATACGACGATGTTGTTGTGTAAGACAGCTGCAGCGTCTAAAGTGCTCCTACCCTGTCTATAGGCAAATTGTTTGGGGTCTTCGAAGTTTTTAAGGGAGGGTTCAAGTTTAAGAAGTATTAGTTTTTCCATAAGCTTTAGGAACGGGGAAGTGATGGCAATGGGTCTGAACTTTACGTTCTTGCCGTTTCCAGGTTTAGGGACAGGGACAATTTTGATGTCTTTCCATGCATCAGGTACGATATTTTTAGAGAAAGAAGCATTTAGGATGTTGGTTAGTGGAGAACACAACACATCTGCACATTGTTTTAGAACATAGGCAGGTATACCATCAGGGCCAAGGCTACGTGAAGGCTTGAGCGTTTTAAGACATTTTAGAACATCGAGAGTTTTAAAGTCATGAAAGTTTTCAGCTACATGATAGGTAACATTAGAAGTAGTTAAAGTAGAAGGACAATTGGAATAAATAATTCCGTTTCTTACGGAAAACTAGTCTGAATTTCTCCAGATCAGAGGTAGCCAGCAAGAAGCCCTCCACCTGGGTTTCGTGCTTGTTGACACTAGTCAATAAGGTATGAATATAACCTTAAATGGCACTGATGTCTCCTCTCAGATTCGAGTTCACGTCATCCAGTACTGGAGTTAGAAAAATTACCACTGAGTTAATTATACTCATGACTAACATCCTGTAGAGAGTAACAAATGTAATGTGTCTAGTCCTTTATGTTAATACTGATTGGATTATGTCAGTCAAGTTTGCGCTTAGAACTGTATGATCAATGCTAAATATTCAGTGTACTCTAAATCAAGTTATAGGCTTCAAGTGACTTTGTACTGAAACACTTATGACAACTCTAGAATCCGAAATATGAACATACATCAGTGCAAATAATGTCACTGTCTTTTGACATTAACCGGGAACATTAGTCTTAAAATCTTCTCTTCAAACCCTAAAGTTCCTAAATCAAGTTTATTATCAAGCAGTATAAATTAGGTATAGAATTTCGACTAGGAATTTAAAGTAGTACCAGCTGAATTTTGTAAATAAAGGAATGATTTATAGGAATGGGTTAAATACAGTTGTAAATGGAGCATCCAACGAACGACCATTTGTCATAATGAATGTCTAGCGGTTAGGATTCATGGCTTTCACCCAGGCGGCCTGAGAGCTCTTTGTGTGTCGGTGGCAAAAATGTAGAATGCTCGCCGACCACGCATATGGTCTAGGGCTCGATTCCCAGCCGACACACTCCTTTACCTCGCTAAACCAGTAATAAAACTGGTAAAAAGGGAAGGTTGGGCATAAAGCTAGCAACCCCATCCTGCAAAAATTAACATTACTGTTACATTACTGCTTGAAGCCCTATGTTCCACTGGGAACGTAAAGGAATAAAAAAATAAGGTCGGAAGGAAGATTATTAAGTATGGGCCAAAAGTTTGCAACGTTAACTACATCAGTAGTCAGTATATGTATAAAGTAAAATAACGTGACAGTATAAGACATGTTACTGAGCCATTCAAACGCTATAATTTCGATATATTTAATTCAGTGTATCTGAAGAATAGCCTAGGAACGCATCTTATACTGTGTGAAACAGATGAGATGATGTTATACAAAAAGTAACAATAACTCTAATAATAGGTTGTTAGTGTATCCCACTAAATGACGGTTTTACCACTGACACTCAAACCTCAGCAACCATGGTTTCAAACCTCAAAGGATTATCCGCTTGGAGAATAGAGTATTCGTAAAGATGGGCGCAGAGTTCGAGTCTCAGTGGGGTCATCATCACTTAGATACACCCAGCCGACAAGTCCCGAAACGGACAAAATGCGCATCATAGATTCCCCTGTTAGACACCATCAATCACAGTAACATCACGCTAATCCTCGGACAAATCATCAAACAGTCTACACTGCTAGCTGACATGTCAGTGACAGACAACGGACAATTTAGTCCAATATAATCAGCCAACGAAAAATATGAATTATCTTACAAGCAAATAGATTGTTAGTGTTAGTCTACATATCCAGTGGCTTCAGAAAAGAATGAATGCCTAAATTCATTTAGAATGCAAAAATAAGGAAGTAAACACAAAGACCGAAATTGTCTCAACATGAAAATATAATCTTGGGTTTGAAAATACCTAGACGTAAGAATAACGACGTAATATGTAGCTTCTAAAATGTAAAGCCCCAGCTTATTATCGTATTTCAAACTATCAAAACAGGATAAATAAGAATTTTATATGAAAATTTCGTAGGTCTGCTATATGTCCCAAAGGGCTATATTCTTGTCAGTGGCAATGAGTTTCATCCGTGTAGACGACCGACTTTCAACCACTGGGTCTTGACTTTAAATTTCTCTCCACCTTCTTCAATTTTAACAACTGGATAGTATAATCAGCTCGCATGCCAAATGAAACCTCTGTTCCACTTAAGTAAGTTTCAACTAATGTCTACCTATTCCAATATCAGCTCCAACACTGATCATCGAAAAAGATGATGACATTGATTAAAACTGAATTTTAGGGTGTTCTGCAAACACTACTATGCATATATATAAAAATCTTATGCAGATATTAAATACCTAGTAGCAAAATGAGTACTTACATTAGGAATGAATACTGTTTGCGAATTCACAAGGCAAATACCTACAATCAATAAATGTATATATATATGCATGTATATCATTTGGTTTCTACTACTCACCTGGTAAAATTAGGCAATAAAATACTATTGAAGAAATTGAAAATACATGGTGTTTCTCTGAGTTCATTATTTCCGCTTATGGTGAAATCCGACAATATATAATCGATCCGTGTGTTTAACTGAAGTATTCTATAGGTAAATGATAGTGTTGACGACTAATATTAACGTCTTCCTCCTGTCATCAGTTCTCCTTGTTCGAGGTTTAGTGATTAGATTAGATTTAAAAATGGTACAATGTCCGACACTTGTGTTGTTTTATAACTCCTATGATGAAACGTTAATTCATGTACACACATCATTGTATCAGTGATATTCGGAAAACATGTATATCTGTGTTGTGTTGTATTGGTTCATAGATTTGTTTATATGAATGAGGTATCCATTGTACATGTACATGTGATTTAATTTATTCATGTTTAATTTGGACTTATATGCACACTAAACACACACAGGCACACACAAGCACACACACACAAACACATACAAACGTAAACTATTGTAAACATGCAAATGACACTCATGGTCATGGATACAAAAAAATTAAATTTGAAGCGTTAGATAATTTATCTGTCCTTTACTCTGTGTATTTGTTTTGTCAGTACATTTCCGTTTGTAAATGAAACAAATCAATTCGTAAAACATAGTATTAATTTACATCACTTAATTAAAGTGGACAGTACTGTAGGGTTGTAATAGAGGGATTGACTTTATTTAGTGGCAAAAGGCTTACAAGTGTGTGATAAGACATACAAAGCATTACGTAACCACCTACTCTGACAGTTCACTAACTTTTTGTGAATAATGCTGTATGTTTTTACGAGTTGATCACGGATTGATATCAGTTAGAGAACCATTGAAAACCAGCTGCGAGTACTGGATAGCTGTTTCATCCTAGTGCTTGGGAATCATCGGCATTACCCACCCACCACCAGGGTTCGAACCCACGACCTTCCGGTTACAAGTCAAGCTAGCTCGTATATCACTCAGTCACTGGGACCCCATCCGATTCAATGACCAGCCCATGAATTCTAACACCTACAAATCCGTGATTTAGCGCCACCACCAACCAATGTCATTGTTGGGACATCCATCCTAATACTTGACTGGATGGAACTCACTGGTTACAGCTTCTCATTAGAACTCCAGGAAACTCTATCCTGTAGCAAGTCACTAGCGAGTATCAGAATAATTTTCTATAGTTGGTTTGTAAAGAATGGTTTCGCTTTTATGATGACGGAGTTTCCTGGAGTTCCAGTGAGAAACCGTGACCAGTGAGGTCCATCCAGTCAAGTGTGAGGATGGATGTCCCACCGATGACATTGGTTGGTGGTCACGATAAATCACGAATTGGTAGGTGTTAGAATTCATGGTCTGGCCACTGAATCGGGTGGTGTCCCAGTGGCTGAGTGGTATACGAGCTTGCTTGACTTGTAACCGGAAGGTCGTGGGTTCGAACCCTGGTGGTGGGTGCTTACTGCTGATGATTCCGTGCTTGCCTGGCACGGTATGTCACTCGACAGCCTTCTCAGTGCATGTCCGATCCATATCCATTTCCTTCTACGTATTTACTGTGTGGTAGGTTCTTGGTTGGTTCGTTCTCAGAGTTCCTAGCTGCTAATCCTTTCTGGCTAGTCATTCGATCTTCAGTATGGAGAGAAGGCAGCCAGCTGTCTGATAAAAGTCTGTAGTCTGTTAGAAGTGCTTTTGTTGACACACCATGTCTCTGACTTAACAATAATTTTGGAAATCCAGAATGCAATGTTAAGTTTATTAGAATTTAATTAAATTTCACTGTGATCGGAATTGCTGCGTTTGACTCCCGATAGGGGTCATGCATATGTGCCTCTTAAGAGTTCAAAAAAGGGAGAACGGAACATCTCTCCAATACTCCCTGGTTTTCTATGATTCTCTGACTTAATTCAATGATCTAACTTCTAGTCGTCTTCACCGATTCCTGATATCGTATTAGCTGGTGAGAAGCAGACGAAACAAACGATGGTACTTTCTTATTTTCCACAAACCATTGTCTTTGCTTTGTTCATATTCATAAACGGGAATAAGAAGCATGCGAACAATAGCCATAAAATATTCGATTTTGAGACAGAGATTGTGTATTTCAATTATCTGAACATATAATTACCACCTACTGAGTTGGAAATGATTTTTAAGCTTAGAAATCATAGAACATAGACTTCATAAACAGGAAATAAACAATTATATTTCATCTAACCTTGTTGTTAAAAAGAAAAAGGATTATTAGATTTATCTATTGAACTGAATTCAGTGTTTTAACGCTTAAAAGAATAATTCCTATTACATTACTGTATGTTTACAATTCACTGGACAAGAAATCCCTCTGGGAACTGTCGGCCTAACAACTTCAGTTTAATATGAAAATCTGTCCTCAATTGACTAATTGATTGTGTGAAGTAGGACATATTTTACAGTTAAATATGTAGAACAAAAGTTGAATTATGCATTATTATCCCATTAATCCTTGTAAAACGTTTTGTATTATGCATAGTGTAATCTGTTTGTGCCAAACTTCGACAACTATTTGGTCATGTAGCATGTATATATATATCCAAACCTTTGAAATCTGTTATACTGCCAATATACAATTTCATCATTTCTGTTGTTCTCTAAAGGATTTCAACTATTCATTCTCCTTAAACTCAGTAGTGTCTGAAAACCGTTTTATTCTTCCAAATACACAGTTGTAAGGGCGGCAGTGATAAGGTGACCAATTCCAGGCAGGTCTGAAAAAGCATGACATGTGCAACAAGAAGCTCTGAAGGTCAACCAGACAACAACCAATAAATATGCAGAAAGAAATGGAGATGTATTGGAAATACGCTGAGGAGACACGCAATTGACATTACACCCTAGACAGACCCTCAAGTGGGATCCGAATGGGAATCGATGGGTTAGGTGGGAGTACGAAAGTGACGCGGATGATATCATTTGGGGAGAAAATGATAGAAATCATGAAGTCAACTAAAGGTAATGACAGAGAGCTGAGTGAAGCGGAGATGTTCCGCCTGAAAACGTATGCAGAGCTTGGAACTCAAGGAACAAAAAAATAATAATAGTACAGTTGTATAAATTTCACCTTAATTCATAGCAGACTTGACGATGCCTGTAAAACCTGACAGGCTATGCATGTGAAATAGATATTATAACATTTAGAAATAATCATTCCGGAAAAGCATCACAGTTCATTTAACAAAATTCATGAGAACCACATCATTATACTATGCTAATTAATCATAATCACTGCGTATGTTGAACTTGAATTCAGTAATATACATGTATAGATAAATTATAATTCTCTACTGTAAATTGAGATATTTAACAAGCAATTTGAAAAATACTAAAAGTATAGTTACCTGGATTGTATTCAATTAATCATTTTTAGGTTAAAACTGAAAATGCAAAAAGATATCTGATGCTTACTGGTCTTCAGGTTAAAAGGGAAGTGTCTCCAATTTTTAAAAGTTAATATCATCTCGTAAATCAATTAGTTAGAAAGCAGTAGACAGGAAGATTTCAGATAGGCTTATTATTGCCAAATTATTAACAAAGCTATGTAACAAGCCTTTCGAGTAACTTATTACTTTACATTACTGCAGTCTGTTAACATTAGATGGTTGGAGGCAATCGGCCACAGGAAGCCTTCGAACTAGATTTCGTGCTACTTGGCACTCACCAGTCAGCAAGGCGTATCTGCAACCTTAAAGGAACTCATGTCCCTTCTGAGATTCAAACCCGCGTCACCCAGTGCTGCAGTCAGAGACGTCTAATCAAAACTATCCAATACAGTCCAACAGGAGGTCAATCGCGAGCACGAATAGCTCAGTGGTAACGACTCTGACTGCATCACTGCACTGGGTGACGCAAGTTCAAATCTCAGAAGGGACATGAGTTCCTTCAAGGTTGCAGATACGTCTTGCTGACTGGTGAGTGCCAAGTAGCACGAAACCTAGTTCTAAGGCTTCCTGACGGTTGCCTCCAACCATCTAATATCAACAATTCGAAGTACACCATGATGGTGCACCATCTAGGATGGTGGCCACATTGCAAACGTGAGTGATAGAATTCAGTGTGTACCAGAGAGACAGGACTAGACACATTACACTAGTTACTAACTAGTGTCCAATCAAAATTGCTGCAAGTTACTGACTAGCTCACATTTATTATTATAATTCAGAGAAATGAATAGCCTTTCTTTTATTATTCAATCATTGAATTTTAATCAGAGTTATTTATCCATCCTGTTCTCCCTAGATATTCATTCATCTCTATACATATTGATTAACAGTCACTCATAAATCAGTCAATGCAGAATCAAATGACAGTTGAAACGGAAGTTTGCTATAAGCTGAAAAATTATGCATATATTGTTCGCATAACAAATATATATCCAGGCATATTGGCATTAATCACCTTCAGACAATGAAAAGTAATCAATAATAATCACAATAATAATAATTATTGTTTGAAAATTCAAATATACAGTAAAGTTACAATAGGCTGGCAGGTGATGTAGATATATTTAAAGCAGACAGTTGAATGAAGAGTGACTGCAATAATATTAGTGAAGTAAAGCTATAGAATTTCAAAAGTTGGTTTGTAAGGATTAGATTTGTTTTGATGAGTTGATCACAGATTGATATCAGATAGAGAACCATTGAAAACCAGCTGCGAGTACTGGACAGCTATTTCATCCTAGTTCTTGGAATTCATCGGCAGTACGCATCCACCACCAGAGTTCGAACCCATGACCTTCCGGTTTTAAGGCAAGCTCGCCTACCATTCAGTCACTTGGACACTGGTTTTCAATGGTACTCCGGCTGATATCAATCCGTGATCAAGTCGCCAAAATCAAATCTATTCCTTACAAATCAACTACTGAAATTTAGAAAACAGAAAGATTTAGCGAAGAAATATTTACTTTTCAGTTAGATCCTCATCTCTGGCTCTACTCTAATATATATCCATAATATTTTTATTACAATACACAACAATTTACCAATCAAGTGGCACAGATATGTTTGTTAACAATAACTAATCAGTGTCAAAATGTCAATGGTTTGATAATTAACGAAGAAAATTAATATACACAATTAAAAGGTAGAAATGGTTACAACAAGTAGATTGCTTAATTCATAAATTTGGAAAAATGAAGAGTAATTAAGGAATAAGCGTGTGCACAGGTTGATTACGTAACAGATTGTTAAGGAAATTAAAACGATTTGGACAATGATAATTTGTATCTAAGGTTGAAGTAGTCAGAAAAAATAAAACAATTTGGACAATTATAATTTTTAAAGGTTTAAGGGGAGGGGAAAAGTAGTCCGGTTTATACAATCATGTAACGATGGTCAAGGTAAG